GTAATCCGGACGTCTGGACCGAACACCGGACCTGTACATCCAGATCCAGACTGTCCACACTGCAATCCGAACCATTAAGTGGCATGAACCATAGTAATAATAGGCATTGTAATAGCTAAAATAGAATTCATCAACGCAACGCAGCTCAATCCGTTATATATTTTAAGTGATTTTGGTGTAAATGTAATGAACCCAGATCGCGAGACAGTTGTCAACAATGCAAGTCCAGATAAATGTCCTTCGGCTGATGATTACAAATAATAAAAAATCGATACCAGACAGAATGAGGTGAGATATCATACACAGACGAAGAGAGAGGAGGGAGAAAAGTCAAAGGAGAGGAAGAAAATGCCCACTCCTGCTTCGGGCTCCCTCCTCCTGCCACCTCAATAATCAATAGTCTGAACGAGTATCCGAGTATCCGCAATGTGCCACGTGGCACGTCTAATCAGTTCTACATCAGCATCTGGAGCAATGTCGACATGAAGACCACAGGTGCGTATCCTCGAACTCTCCACAGTCCTGATCTCCTCCTGAAGTGATGACGAACAGAACAGCAATGCCAAATATGTAGTCCCAATCACAGAACACGTGGACAGCAGCCACGTCAGCATGATACACGTGGCAGCAGCCACATCAGCGAAGGTGCATGGCAGCTGGCCATGTCAGCAGGCCAAGAAGACAGGAGCAAGCCGGCCACCATGCCGGAATAGCAGCACCTCGCAAGTCACAATGCCAGCAGCGTCGAGCCAGCGTCGCAGCGTCAAGCCAGCGTCGAAGTCAATGCGTGAAGTCAGCATCAACGCAAGACGGAATGAATCTCAAAGCCAGGAAGTCAACTCTTATGGAGTGTTGACGCGGGGTCTGGACCCCGATGCTGTATCCCTCGGCCGTCCAGATCTCAATTCGAATGAGGGCTCAGATCGGCCTGAAACCGAATTCCCTCCGGCCTGGATGCTGTCTGGGTACCTGTGCACAACAAGTGAGTGTATCCAACCCAGGGCCTGGGTGCGGTACCTTTGACTCTACAGTTGACTTTGCCTCTTGAATTTCCTGTGTGCGGCGTTCGGTCACACACCCACACTCGACAGACTCAGACCTGGGCGTGTCCTGGTCACACAGCCCAGCGCAGACCTTCTCAGGTCTGCGTGGCCTGGGGCTGAGTTCTGGGCCCCAGGCTACTTCTGAACAGGGTTATTATTACATAAAGCTGAAACAGTTCCAGCTACGTTGATGGTCATTATTATTATTACACAAATGAAGACACCTCTTAGGAAGGACTGTATACCTTTAATTAATAGTTCCACATGAAAGAGGACAATGACCTTGTGTTCTTTCTGGTTTTTCTATTGCAGGGATTCCTTCAGCCTGCATGCCCTGTAATGGGTTTGTTTGCAACTGTTTCCAAATTTGAAAAAAGGAGCTGGCTCAGCTCCGTTGCATTCAGATTGGGAGTTCATGCCGCATGACCGAAGATGGGTGCGAAGACTGACGACACGGCCGGTTCATTGCCAGTGCAGAAGGTGACTAAGACCGAATCGGAGTGTTGCAATACAGCTGCGAAGGTGCCAGCTCCTGTGAAGGCAGCAGCGCCCAAAAAATTGAAGAGGAAAAAGGCTGTTTCCGATGTAGACGAGCGGGCGGCAATCGGCACAGCAAGTGAGCCAGCAGAGAATGATGGGGCGGCATCTCAACCACCGGCAAAAGATGAGATTGATGCCATTTTCGCAGAAGCTAAGCAGAAGAAGAAGAAACCGGGCAATGAAGGGGAAAATAACTTGAAGAAAAACTCGACGGCGGGAGTCTGCGACGAGAAATTGAGTGAGAAGCCAACAGATGTTCCACCCATGTGCGCTCTCGATTATTCCGGCAGAAAGAAAAAGAAGGTAAAGAAGGGCCAAGCATTTTCAGCAGCCAATGTCCTTGAAGACGCGACTGTGAATAGAAAAAGAACAGAAGAGGGTTACAGGGTATATACAGAGGATGAGCTGCGCGTGAGCCGTAAACAGGCAGGAGGAACCCCATTGTGTCCTTTTGATTGCGACTGTTGCTTTTAGTTCATTCACAGCATGAGATATGTCTGAAAGCATTTCTTTCTTGAATGCCCGCTGCCTCAAAGCCTTTGTTCTTTCCCCCCTTTCTCTCCATCCACTGTGAGCTGGAGTTTGCGCATTGTGGCTTTTGGATCATCCCAGCGTTCTCATGCAGATTTGAGAGAGGCAATGATTTGCGCGGTTTATTCACATGAACGAGGATTCGTCTGAGAGGTCATTAAGGCACAGTTCACAGGGTTTCCAGCTGTCTATGCGTGTGGCGCTTTGAGGGCTTTTTTGGCTGGTCGTGATAAACGACAATTTGTCCTTTTGAAGGCGGCGTTGCTTGTGATGGAGATTTTTGTGCCTTTGGTCGTTTCAGGTCAGCTCTCTTTCTACGAAGAGGCTTTCGTTGAATGTGAAGTAGACATCAGGATTGATGCTTCTGGGTCATTTCAGGTGAGCTCTCTTTTGGATTTGTCGGGATCTGATTTGTTGGTTGTCGCAATAAGGATGATGGGGTTCATTGCATGCCCTTTGTGATCTATTATTTTCTGTGCACGCAAATGCATCGGCTGTGTTACACGGTCTTGATAGCGCTTCTGAGAACGTTCTTTTGTTTTCTCCTTCACTAAAATGGCTTTCCTTGCTTTGCTCGTCCGTCTTTTATGCACGCTTAATTGTGTCTCTCTGTGCTGCATCACAGCTGGGAAGGGAGAAAGGGCAAAAACAAGAAGAAAATGCGAACACCTGGTAGCTTTTCCCTCTGCAATCACCAGGACGTTCAGACCTTTTCTCCCAGATCCATGCCCTCAGTTTTTTTTGTGGAAGCAGGCCCAAACAGTCCTCGACCTGGAAGCTGGAACCCCTCAAAAGTCGGGCCTTATGTCAGAGTGAAAGAAAGTTTTGACTACCCTGGTGGTTGGGGGTACACAGGAATGATAGGATAGACATGATAAAAAAGAAGTCGAAGCTAGCAGATTGACGTGGTTGAGAGGGAACGACACGTGTACTTGAGTGCACATGACACACCTGCACCCACTGGCATGCACGCAAGTCCAGACACAGTGAAAGTGTGGGGTGTCGACAGATTGTTATATACTGTGTAAATTCGCTTCTACCGTCTTCACCCGAATCGAACACCCGGTCATTGTAGCTGTAGTTGGGCCGACTTTCAGTCTAAATACAGTGATTATGACCAGGCGTTCTATTTGGGTGAAGACAATAGCAGACGTGTCAGTGGCCACCATTGCCTGTTTCACCACACACAAGTTGGGAACCGCGCACTTTTTAAATTGCTTTATACTGTCTGTTGAAAGGATTCACGGCTATCAGAGTCTGTTCCGAGCCCCAGGGACCCAGTCCCAAGGTCCCATGGTCCCATTTACCATAACCCTTAATCTTATGAAGCCTGGTAGGTTCGTGTCCTGTCCGGTTCCATGCAGTTCAGTTCGATGTAGCCAGTCAGTCCATTCCAGTCAGAAGCCCAGGGTCGTAGGAATGTCGTCAAACACTCTAGGCGTGTCGAAGTCCAAAGCTGCGGCTGACAAGGTTATTGATCCGAAGGAAACGAACCTGAACCGTCCCGTACAAAAGCACAGCAGCAGTTGGCGACAACATCTTTCCTCTCACGTATGTTGCAGAAGTGCGGCTGTGGTCTTCTGTGACCAAACAACGAGGGAGGCCAGATTGAGGCAGAGTAGCCGTAGTCAATGTGCACCGGGTGCCATAGCTTGCTCGACTAGTGAGTGAGGAAGACGACATTCAGAGAGCAAGTGAAGATCTGAGAGAGAGAGAGAGAGAGAGAGAGAGAGAGAGAGAGAGAGAGAGAGAGAGAGAGAGAGAGAGAGTCCATTCTTGGTTGTTGTTGTTTAAGCTGTTAAGTGGTATAGATGCGAACTTGTTGTAGTAGTACTAGATTTCAAGCAATCTTTGAAGGGTTTGAAGATTGGGCTCATTGCAATCTGGTAGCAGAGCGAAACTCTCACAGTCTTCTTGTCATAGGGGAGGAGCACTGACATCATCCATATATTGGTCTGGTGCATGGAAGGCCCCCATGAAGGGGGGGGTGGGGCATTCATAGTTGTACAAGCGGCTCTGGCTGATCAAATGGGCTGGTCAACCAGTTGTCCGAGCCGAAAAGGGCCTGTTGAGGGGTGTGGGTCCGCTCCCCTACCCCCTCGTGGGAAAAAAAGAGGAAATATTTTTTCTTGGAGGGGTGGTGAAGTGCTATCATGTTCTTTTTTTCTTTGCTGGGGGGGGGGGGGGGGGGGGGGGG